CCCCAAAACCCCAAAACCCCAAAACCCCAAAACCCCAAAACCCCGTTTGACACATTCCTATTGAAACTAGCTTATGAAATAAATTGATTGGTGAACTTCGCCTGAATTATAACAAATTCTCCAAATATCCCTAAATTCCGTTATAGGAATTGGAATCAGAATTAGACATCATAAAATCAGGTATTTCAAGTCCTCCGAAGGTGAGGTTCAACTTAAAAAATCTAAACCATGCAAAAATTTAGTATTTTTCTAAAGATCCTCAAATTTCGTTCTGTCCTTCTCATAAATAGGCTAGCTCTCGAAGACAAGTCATCTCTTTAGCTTGATAGAAATATTCTGAGGTGTTTTAGTTTACAGTTTCGGTTAGCATCTCCTAGAGTAATTCCTGTAACGGATTGGGCTTAAACAGTCCAAGACTAGCACTAAATCATTTATTTTGGTTGAATTAAATCAAGAACTCTATCAAACAAACTGGAGTAATTTCGAACTCTATTCGATCATTTTGTATCCCAAAGGAGCATGTGCAGCTAATGTAAATTGCGAATCTAGGTTTCATGGAAGGTATCACTTTATTCAAGATTTTTTCTTTTTTGGCATAATACTAAGGCCCTAGAAGGAGAGATCACTCTTTCTCAGCTGCAAGAATAAGGTCAACTATTTGTAGATATTTTTCAATATTTATAACATAATTTGCCAAATCTCAATTCTTCTCAGATGCTATTTCTTGAAATAATCCAGGTTACCCAGACGGAGATACCTACAATTTTTCATGGATATTTTTGTTATTAAACTGTGAAATAAGCTATCGTATGAGCCAGGACAACTAGGGTTGCTCGATGGTAGCCATAGGCACCTAAAGGCACTCTTCGAAACAATTTTGCACTTTTCAGAGATGAGAAAAAGGCTAACATCTTACAATCAAAATTTATCTTCTTCCATATTTTATACATTAAATTATTTTGAATAAAATTTTGAGAAAGAACCTTAAGTTGTTGTAAGAAATTAAATTTTTGAAGATTCCTCACAATTGAGAATCGGCAATACATTACTCTAAGACTGGATAAAGATGATTTATAATGTACTAGAGCCAATCATCAAGGTAAGGCGTCACCATTTCCGCTTACCATATCAACTAGTCTTTTAAATTTATCTCCTACAATTAGTTACAATAATCTAAAAATGGTGGCCGATAGGAGGATTAAGAGAGCTTATTAGCTAAGTTCTGAACTAAATTTAGCCAAAATAAGTCTAGCTTATCTCTCTAATTCCTGTGAAAAATTTGCCTTGTGATGGTAGTGATGTGACAAATTATTAACTGGTGTTATATAAACCGTATTGATGAAAAGAAGATGTCGGCTTTTTTGAATCATTGATTTCAAATTTAGAGAGGAAAAAAAGTTCATACAAAAGCCAGAATTTTTTCTCATAAATACTCTTCTATATGTGTAATTTATTATCGAGCGGTGAGAAAGAGGAGACTAGGGCCTAGTCAGACACTAATCACCATAAAACGGTCTTACTTTTAGTACTTTTTCCAATAAGTTCAGGCACATCCTCAGCTAACAATGTTAAAGTATATGTACTAGTAATCTAAAAGGATACAATTCTAGAAGGTTTGAGTCTTTTCTCAGTTAATTTAGAAAATCTTGGTGGACCCAGAATATCTATATAAGTTTGTGTAACAAGATGTTAATAATTAATTTTTATGAATTACCAAAATTTCCCAGTTGTCTCACAAAACGACAATACCCTACTCTGGGGCTATGCCGAACTCACCAACCAACTTGCAGAGACCTTCTGAATGTGCCCACCAGTAGCAGATATAACCCCAAGTCTCAATAAGTATTGAGATTTCCAAACACTGAAGAGCTGTGCATATCTAAGTAGCCCGAAGATTCTTTGAGATACAGAGTAAGTATTCAATTTAGTTGACTGGTAACCAAATTCGTACTATCTCACTCATTATGCATGAGCTAACCCTACTCTTATAGTTCTTCAATGCAGAAGGAGCTAACAGACCTATTTATATACAAAAAGCAGCAAACACCCCAAATGACAAGAGTATCGGAAAGCATCTCTTTCCCCAAAACGAATATGTTTAAAAATGAAGGACTCACAGACACTTCAGAAAAAGCAGAGGTTATTAAAAAGAGAAGGAGACGTTCCTCAAGACTGGAGATCAGATCCAAATTAATCGAAGTCAGAGATCAAATCCTCCAGCAAGGCATCCCTATGTTCTACAATTCACCTAAAAAGACGAGAGGAAGTCCTGTTAGTAATAGTAGAAGATCCAAGTACATTGGAATCTCCAAGAACAACACTCATTGGCAAGCTTTGATCAATATTGGAAGGACCAAGAAGTACATTGATATCTTCGTGTCTGAGCAAGAGGCTGCCAGGACTTATGATGTTTACGCAATAGCCATTAAAGGAGTTGACGCTAATCTCAACTTCAACTACACAGCTGCAGAGATGATTAGCATGATCGACCACTATCTCCAACACGGATCAGCAGTTGTCCCTTCATAAGATAACTTAGCGACAATATGAAAATAATTCTTCTAAATATTTATCTTTTACTCATAATCTTCAAAAATGGGGTCAAGGCAAGGAATTTCCTTGGATCGGGGGACTCTTGGAGCAGAATCAAATGTTTTCTTGCTTCTCCATTACTTTTTCGAGATCAGCAATGTAGACTATGAGGGAGATGCAAGAGAGTGCTTTCCATGATGCTCTCAAAGGTGGTCTGCTAAATTATAAATTTTTGAAAATTTTCGTGGCCGCTCTAATTGTATCAATTTACTAGCATATTCAGGTGCTTGTACCTCATTTGCTAAACTAAACGAATATAAGAGTTTGTTAATAAAATAGGAATATAGAAAGCCGAGATAAGTTCAAGATTAATAAGTCGAGAATTAGCAACCATGATTATTGCTGGTGACATTTCAATTTGAGGTGTTATTAAGGGGTTTTGGGGTTTTGGGGTTTTGGGGTTTTGGGG